GTAGGAGGGCCGGCTGGGGATTGGGGCATGACTGCTGTGGGGCGGAACTGACTGCCTACCGTGGGGCGGAGCTGACTGCCTGCCGTGGGGCGGGGCTGACTGCCTTCCTATTCCCTCTAGTGAACCAGCTGCACTTCATCCCTGTGGACCTGGGCTCCCCCATCGTGCAGTGCGCTGTGGCTGACCCCTATGTGGTCATCATGAGTGCTGAGGGCCACGTCACTATGTTTGTGCTCAAGAGTGACTCCTACGGGGGTCGTCACCACCGTCTGGCACTGCACAAGCCACCGCTGCACCATGTAGGGCTTCCCCCATTGTCCCCAGCCCACTGTTCCCACTGGTGCCTCCCTCTGCCCCACTGAGCCCCCCCTCTCTCTGCAGCAGTCCAAAGTGATCACACTGTGTGTGTACCGTGATGTCAGTGGCATGTTCACCACTGAGAGCCGCCTGGGTGGGGTCCGAGATGAGCTCGGGGTCCGCAGTGGCTCTGAGGCTGAGGGCCTGGGCTCGGAGACCAGGTGTGTGGGGCTGGGAGCATGGGGGTAAAAGGGAGGGCTGTGCGTGGGCCCTGCTCTAGGCTGGCCCTGTGACATGCTGCCTGGACCAGCCCCACAGTAGATGACGAGGAGGAGATGCTGTATGGAGACTCGAGCTCCCTGTTCAGCCCCAGCAAAGAAGAGACCCGCAGGAGCAGCCAGCCACCTGCTGATCGTGAGCCTGTGCCCTTCCGTGCTGAGCCCACCCACTGGTGTCTGCTGGTGCGGGAGAACGGAGCCATGGAGGTAGGTGGACCCATCCCATCCCACAAAGCCCAGCCTGGCCCCTCTCCCACCAGCTCTAGCCAACTGCTGCAGCCCCCACCCTACCCCCAGATCTACCAGCTTCCTGACTGGCGATTGGTGTTGCTGGTGAAGAACTTTCCTGTGGGGCAGCGTGTGCTGGTGGACAGCTCCTTTGGACAGCCCACCCCACAGGGTGAGAGCCGCAAGGAGGAACTCACACGCCAGGGCGAGCTGCCCCTTGTCAAGGAGGTGGTGTTGGTGGCCCTGGGCAGCCGCCAGAGCCGGCCCTACCTGCTGGTGAGTCCCAGGGCCTATGCTTCCCATGCACTTCCTTCACCCCTCTGTGGCCCCACACAGCCCCCATCCTGCTTCCCCCGTGGAAGGCTCGACACTGCTCACTTTCCCAGCAGCCCTTCATGGTCCCTCTACCCTCCCACCAGGTGCACGTGGACCAGGAATTGCTCATCTATGAGGCCTTCCCCCATGACTCACAGCTTGGCCAAGGAAACCTTAAAGTTCGCTTCAAGAAGGTGCTGGCGGCCAGGGCTGGGTGGGGACTTGAAGCTGAGGGGGAACTGGTTGGCAGGGTCTTTAGGAGCCCGGCCCTCACACACCCTCCCCCAGGTGCCTCACAACATTAACTTTCGGGAGAAGAGGCCAAAGCCGTCTAAGAAGAAGGCAGAGGGCAGCAGTGCCGAGGAAGGGGCCTCAGCCCGGGCCCGGGTGGCACGCTTCCGCTATTTTGAGGACATTTACGGCTACTCAGGGGTAGGCAGGCTGGCCCTGGGGGGCCAGGAGAGGGGCAAGAGAGAGAACCAGGCCAACCACCACCTCATTGTACCTGCTCCCAGGTGTTTATCTGCGGCCCCTCACCCCACTGGCTCCTGGTGACCGGCCGGGGGGCCCTACGGCTGCACCCTATGGGCATCGACGGCCCCATTGACTCCTTCGCCCCCTTCCACAATGTCAACTGCCCTCGTGGCTTCCTGTATTTCAACAGACAGGTAAGGGGTTGGTGCCCATCCTTGCTGTTGCTGTCCCAGATCCAGGGGTAGGGAGGCTGGCAGGGGCTGGCAGGGCCCTGGGAGTGGAGGGCAGGGCCAATGTGTCACCAGCTTTGAGCTGTCAGGTGGCCTAGTCCCTGGGGCAGTGTCTGCTCACTGCTCTGCTGACCTGTCCCTCCTGATGTGACCCTTGTCCGGCTCTGGCCTCAGCCCCTTTGAGGAACCAGACTGTCCTAGTTTGAAACCTACTTGGGGGGCCTGGGGGACAGGTCAGATACTCTGAACCTCTCAGGATCCTTGTGCCTATTTGAGATGGCACAGTTGGCACCTGGGCCATTCCAGGATGAGTCAGTTACAATACAAGTGACTTTGTGGGGACATGGACGTTGTGGTCCCTGGGGGGGTGATGGGAAGTGTGGGCTGGGCCTCGTGTTTCCCCCATGGGGAGGGGTGGCTGACATGACATTGTGGGAAGGGTGACCAAGCCTTGTGTGGTTTTCTTAGCCTCATCTGGCCCCTGCCTGAGCCCCTAGGACACTTCACAGCCACCCCTACCTGGGATCTAGCCCACTGTAGTCCTGGTGGGTGCCCGACTAGGGGCCTTACCACTCAGGACACTCACCCCAAGACCCAACCACCACAGTGCTGAGGACACATGTCCAGGGTGCCACCTCAGCAACTTGCTCCCGCCATCCCCAGGGTGAGCTGCGCATTAGCGTCCTGCCCGCCTACTTGTCCTATGATGCCCCGTGGCCAGTCAGAAAGGTCCCGCTGCGCTGCACGGCCCACTACGTGGCCTACCACGTGGAGTCCAAGGTCTGACCCCCCGACTCAACCCCCCTTAACTTTCTGCTGGGCCAGCTCCTCGCCCAGCACCTGATGCTCAGCCCCACGTCTAGGTGTACGCCGTGGCCACCAGCACTAATGCACCCTGCACCCGCATCCCCCGCATGACGGGCGAGGAGAAGGAGTTCGAGACCATTGAGAGGGGTGCGTCCCACCTGCACATGGTCCATCTGGGGCATCCTGCCTGATCACTGCCCCCCTCCAACCCTGTCTGACGGCTGCCTGGTGACCACTGTCCTCTGCGCTTTCCTGACAGACGAGCGCTACATCCACCCGCAGCAGGAAGCCTTCTCCATTCAGCTCATCTCCCCAGTCAGCTGGGAGGCCATCCCCAATGCCAGGTAGGGTGCTACCTGGGCAGGGGTGTGGGCTGGGGGTACTGGGCTGTGTCCTGACCCGGTCCCGCCCCAGGATCGAGCTGGAGGAGTGGGAGCACGTGACCTGCATGAAGACGGTATCTTTGCGCAGTGAGGAGACCGTGTCGGGACTCAAGGGCTACGTGGCCGCTGGTACCTGCCTCATGCAGGGGGAGGAGGTCACGTGCCGAGGGCGGGTAAGGCCAGACCGGTGGGGGGGCTGCCCCAGCTCCTCAGCCTGTCTACATGCTGCAGCCCCCTGCCCCCACCCCCAGATCCTGATCATGGACGTGATTGAGGTGGTGCCTGAGCCCGGCCAACCTCTGACCAAGAACAAGTTCAAGGTCCTATATGAGAAGGAGCAGAAGGGGCCGGTGACCGCTTTGTGCCACTGTAATGGCCATCTGGTGTCAGCCATTGGCCAGAAAGTATGTCATTCCCCCCCCCCCATCCCCCGTTCCCCGGGGGTCGCCTCCTGTCCTGCTCAGCCCTTCCCCCCACCCGCCCCCGCAGATCTTCCTGTGGAGTCTTCGTGCCAGCGAGCTGACCGGGATGGCCTTCATCGACACGCAGCTCTACATTCACCAGATGATCAGCGTGAAGAACTTCATCCTGGCCGCCGACGTCATGAAGAGCATCTCACTGCTGCGCTACCAGGAGGAGAGCAAGACCCTCAGCCTCGTGTCTCGGGTACCTGGGAGCTACTGCAATGCTCCGTGTGTGGGCAGGCCTGGCCTGAAGCCCACCTCACACCCCCATCCCTTCCCCAGGATGCCAAGCCCCTGGAGGTGTACAGTGTGGACTTCATGGTGGACAATGCCCAGCTGGGCTTCCTGGGTGAGTGGGGTACATGGTGGGGCACTGGGAGTGGCCTGGGCTGGCCAACTGACCCTCTCTGGCTTCTCCCCAGTGTCTGATCGAGACCGAAATCTCATGGTGTACATGTACCTGCCAGAAGGTGAGAGGACACCTCCCCGGTGTGTGGGTATGTGTCTGGGGGGCTGAGCACTGGGTGGGCAGTGACCAAGGTTTTTTTTCCAGCTAAGGAGAGTTTTGGGGGGATGCGCCTGCTACGCCGGGCTGACTTCCACGTGGGCGCCCATGTGAACACCTTCTGGAGGACCCCGTGCCGGGGTGCTGCTGAGGGGCCCAGCAAGAAGTCGGTGGTGTGGGAGAACAAGCACATCACGTGGTTTGGTGAGTGCAGCGGGGGCCTGTAGGGTAGGCATGGGTGCCAGTCCGGTGCCAGCTAATGCCCCTCCCCACAGCCACCCTGGATGGTGGCATCGGGCTCCTGCTGCCCATGCAGGAGAAGACCTACCGGCGGCTGCTGATGTTGCAGAACGCACTCACCACCATGCTGCCCCACCACGCCGGCCTCAACCCCCGGGCTTTCCGGTGAGTGCTGCCCCCCCATCCTCCGCCTCGCCTCACCCCACCCCGCCATCCTCCGCCCCCTTAACTCTCTGCCACGTCTCCAGCATGCTGCATGTGGACCGACGCATCCTGCAGAACGCCGTGCGGAACGTTCTTGATGGAGAGCTGCTCAACCGCTACCTCTACCTCAGCACCATGGAGCGTGGCGAGCTGGCCAAGAAGATCGGCACGACGCCGGACATTGTGAGCACCCACCTGCCTGCCTCCCTTCCTGACTCGCCCCCCACAGGCCTCACCCGCTGCCTGTTTCCACAGATCCTGGATGACCTGCTGGAGACAGACCGCGTCACTGCCCACTTCTAGCGCCAAGCGGACGCCCCGCCTCCATGCCACCCCCCTCCACCCCTTTTGTACAAAACACAAAAGAAAATGGATTTGTTTTGGAAGATTTGTTTGAGAAAAGTGTGTGGTCATTGCAGGGGCCTGGTCCGGCCACTTCCCTCACCAGGCAGCTTTGGCACCATGGCCTGGGCCCGAGCATCCACTGGACTGACAGCCCTAGGCATTGGCTCTATTGGGCCTCGGCTGGCAGCCTGCTTTGTCCTGAGGTTCTCCTGTGCCGCAGGGCAGGTGGTCTAGGTCTCCAGGTACTCATAGAGGTCCTTAGGGTCAGTCACAACGCCCAGGTGAACCAGGGTGCGGACCACCAGGGTTGTGAGCCTCATCAGGACGATCTCCACCCTGGGATGGGCAAGTCACAGGTTGGAGGTGAGTCAGCCTTGGGCCCTGCCCCTCCCTTCACTGTCCACTCACCTCAGGGCTACTTCAAACTTGAGCATCTCCCAGACAACCTTGATGTGTCGTAATAGGCTAAAGCGGTAGATGCCCTGGTACGTGGCTCCCACCAGGCGGCTCCAGCCTTTGACTGCACTGCTCCAAACACGTGGGTCAGTCTGTGCCCCGCCCCCCCAATGCCCCACCGCGTACCCCCTGGGTCCCAGGAGCCGCCAACCTCTTGGCCATTAGGAAGTAGCGGTCCACAGGGGTGCCAAGGGAGGCATTGATGGCACGAACTGTGTTGATGTTCCGAAGCACCAGCAGCATAGGCCGCGGGAGGGCCTTGAGCACACGCATGATGTCCTCGAAGTGCTGTCGCGCCATGTCCTGCATGTACACCACCTCGTCCCGGCTCAGCAGGTGGGAGCGCCACAGCTGGCCCAGGCGCACAGGCCGTTGCATCAGCATCTCGCAGAACAGGAAGTAGTCTGGGGGGCGGGGGGCGCTGAACGCTTCTGGGGGCCCTTGACCACGCGCCTGGCTCTCACCTTGGACACCGAGGGTGGCCGCGTGCGCCTTCATGGAAGCACTGTCCTGAAGAATGATGGCCCTCCACAACTGGCACAGTGCTGCGCGGTCCCTGTGGGCCAGAGTGGTCACCCAGAACACCGAGGCAGGCCGGTCTCCGGACAGGAACCCCCTCCACCCCCACTTACTTCTCGTCCAGGAACTGGTAGAGCCCGTGGTCCAAGAGGACCAGCTCTGCCTTCCCGTCCGGGCCTTTCCGCACCAGAACTGGGGACACAGAGGCAGATTGAGGCCCGGCCCCGCCCCTGGCCCCACCCCCAGCCCACCCCTGGGGCCGCCTACCGTTGCCAGGATGCGGGTCCGAGTGGATGAAGCCAGTGTAGAAGATCTGCTCCGCAAAGGCCTGGATCAACTTCTGGGCTATCTGCGCGGGGTTGGGGTGGGGAAGAGCCGGCTGTGGCGGGGCGGACACAGGTACGCAGCCGCCCCTGTCCACCCATCCCCGCTTACGTCCTGGAGCATCAGCCCTTGCTCTTTGATGGCTTCCATATCGTTGACTTTGCAGCCCTCGCAGAAGTCTGCTGTCAGCACACGCTAGAAGAAGGGGCAGGCTCAGCAGGCCGCTCCTCCCACCCTGCCCCGCCCAGGTCGCCCCAGCCCCGCCCACCTTGCTGGTCTTGTCCCAGTGCACGCGGGGCACCACCACGTAATGAAAGTGCTGCAGGTCCCTCGCACAGCGCTCCGCATTGCGGCCCTCATTCTCAAAGTCCAGTTCCTGCGCCAGTGTCCCCTTCAGGTCCTGGGAGCCACAGGGCGTCAGGCTGGTGCTGGGCAGGCCTCCCTCCGCCCGCCGAGGCTGGCCGGTGCCGGCGGTACCTGGAGGACCCAGCTGAAGCCGAAGCTGGGGTGCATGAGCTCGATGAGCTGCAGTAGCAGCTCCAGTGTGTAAATGTCGCTGTCGAAACGATCCCGCAGGTCGATGTATTGCACCTGGGCAGGCAGAGGATGTGGTTGGGGGTGCACCGCGTGCCCCCCATTCCCTGCTCTTCTCCTCCGCCAGCCCCGTCCCCAGGCACCTTCACTGCCACGTCGGTGCCATCATGCAGCTTGGCCTTGTGCACCTGGGCCAGGCTCGCCGCAGCCATGGGCTGGTAGTTGAACTCCTGGAAGATCTCGTGGGCCCGTGCATGGAAGTCCTCCAGGAATAGCTCGTCCACCTGGGCAGGCAAGCCAGGTGCAGCCACCGCTGGACACTAGGCCCCGCCAACCCGGATTCCCCAGCCTCACTCACCTCCTGGAAGCCCCGAGTGAGGGCCTTGTCCTCCAGCACACGCAGCGTCTTGATGTACTCGGGGGGCAGCAGGTGGTTGAAGGAGCACAGCCCCTGGCCCAGCTTGACATAGAGGCCCCCGTTGCTGATGGCCCCAGCAACCAGAGCATCGGCAGCCCGCTGGTGACAGGCAGACATCACCTCCAGGTATTTCGGGCTGTTCTGACCACAGGCATGGGAAAGGGATGGCATGGAGGCACTTGGACCCCTTCCCTGGCCGGTGCCCACCTCCACAGTGCAGGGCAGGGGACAAACCTGGTCCACGCCCCATAGCAGGATGTTAGTGCACCACCAGTAGTCCAGAGAAATCTGCACCCCGACACACAGGGACCTGCCGGCAAAGGTCATTGCTCAAGGGGTAGGCCCCAGGGGGAACACAGGAGGGCACCTGCGGGCAGGTCCTGGACCAGGCTGGCTGAGGTCTCTGACTAGTGGTTCCCAGTAGGTCAAGCTCAACAGCCTGCACCTCAGACATGGCTCTGCTGGGCACCCAGTGGAGGGGGCGGGGTTCTGGGTGAGACAAATGTGTACAGGTCGGGGGAGGGGGGGTGCTCCAGGGCCACAGCGCAGGGCAGCGGTGGGTGGGGGCTGAGAACCACAGGGAGCCCAGAGCGAAGTGCCCAGGATCCGGGGTGGGGGAGGCAGGGGGGCTGCGGGTTCCAGGAGGAAAGGAGCAGCAGATTGGGTTCCTGAGCCCCCAAGGGACATCTGGGGCAAAGAGAAGGGTGTCTGGTAGGGGCAGGGACACTTGTCCATTTATTGGCTCTAGCTAGGAAGTGGAGGAGGGGAGGTCCCCTGGGAATTTGGTGCTACATGGGGTCCCAAAGAGAACCCTGGAGTCTACTAGTTAGGGATTTTTTTGGGCCCCAGGCCAACCTCCAGCCCAAGCTCCTCAGAGGTGGAGGGAGAGGGGCTGGACTATCAGTAATGGGAAGGTGGGACGCTCACCTGTGACGGAGACACCTGCCTGCCCCCCCTTTTTGTAAAGCAGTTTGGTTTTCATTTAGAAGTGGTCCCAGCCCACTCAGCTGCCTGCTGACACACCCTTGCAGCCGGTGACCCCTACTGTGTGCCCAGAAAGCCGATCTGAACATGTGCCAGAGGGCTCTGCCCAGCAGGACGCCAGCCACTGGGCACTTAAGGGTCACATGAGGCCTTGTCTTCAGGCACCAGCTGATGGCTCCCTGGCCAGGGGCTGGGATCTCCAGGTAGTGTGTGCCGGGCAAGCACGTTTCTGCCCAGCTTTGTGTGACTGTAGCCAGACTCACCAACCCTCCCCAAGTGGGTTAGGAAGGGGGATCGCCCACACTGCTTTACCTCTATCTTAACTTTCTTATGAAACAAAATACTTTTGTGATTAAAAGAAAGATGTGAAAACTCCCACAGACATTAGCTTAAAGGGGGAAAAGGGACTGCGTTTCCCGACATGCCTTGTCTCCGAGGTGGCTGGGCAGTGAGCACCTGACACGGTGGGGACCACAGGCCAGCTCCAGGAGAGCCTGAGGTCTGACTGAGGCACACTTTCCTGTAGTCTGGGGGGTGGAGGGACATTTTTAGGGCCTTGAATATTCTGTAGGATACTGTGCTGGTGGATAAATGACATGCTGCGTTTGTCTAAACCCCCAGGACTGTGGGCGTCACTGGTAACCAAGTATCCACATTGCCTCATGCAATCTACTGTAACCAACACAGACGCTCCAGGGCTAGGGAACCTTTCTGTACTTCTGCACGATTTCTCTTTAAGCCTAAATCTGCTTTAAGAAATAAAGTTTTCTAAGTGTGGGGCTTCTTTCCCTCCAGAATAATTCGGTCCAAAAGCCATTAGGTGACAGCTGTGCCCCACATGAGGAGCAAATCAAAAACAGGTCCAAGTGGGAGATGGCAGTCACTGATGTGGGCAGCTGCAGAGTAAGGCAGGTGGGGACCCAGCAGGACTGTGTGAGGGTCCCAAGGACAATGGAGAAAAGGAGAGAGAGACAGGGAAAAGGAAAGAAGTGGTACGAGGCCTGTGGTGAGGGGAACCAGAGCACAGACTCGGGTGTTAGGGGGGAATGCATTGTGTCCCCCCAAATCTGTGTCAGTGTGAGTTATGTGATGAGCCCCTCATGATGCATGATCTGATCTGATAAACTGGTTAAGAGGATTAAGGGTGGGATGGTAAGTGCCATTGAGTCGATTCTGACTCATAGCGACCCTGTATAGGGTTTCTGAGGAGCAGTTGGTGGTTCTCAGTCCAGTGCTGACCCTAAAGCACCACACTAAAGTTCGTAAGGGTGGGGTGCTATACCCTTAATTCCATCCCAGTCCTGAATCCATGTAAGGGGAGCGTCTGTGGGATGCGGCCGACAGACCTTTTACTTACAAGAAATCAAAGGAGAGAGAGGTGAACAGAAAGGAGAGTCCTACCATCCAGAAGGAAGATGGGAATGGACCTGGAGTGTGAAGCTCCCAGATCCAGGGGAACTTGACCTCTCCAAGGACTGCTGGGCCCACAGGTGCTGAAAGGAGGAGACCAGGCCCGAGCCCCAGAGCCCACACACAGGAAGCCTTGCAGCCTCTGAACTGGGAGAGAGTGAATTTCTGTGTGTGAAAGTCACCTGTATGTGCTATCTGTTATAGATAGTAGCACCAGAGACATGCTGATGGCAAAATCTTGGTGGGACTTAAAGAGTCAAGTCCAGGCCAACCCTAGTCACAGAACAGTGATGTGAACAGATAACAAACCCCACTGAATACCACAGACCATGCATCCACACTGAAATGAGCAGGAAGAAGGACAATTCTTCCTTACAGTATTTCACCAAGAACCAACGCTGAGGGAAAGGCAGCACTGAGCTGCCACTACTTGGCAATGTCAGAATAACAATTTATCCAGAAGGATCTGTGGATACTAAGGGAAAAAAAACCCCAGCTGTGGCGCTGTGGGCTAATGCGTCAGACTGCAAAGTCATTTGAACTGCAAGGTCGGTGGTTCAAGCTCACCAGCTGCTCCTTGGAAACCCTATCCAGGGTCACTATGGGTCAGAATCGACTCGACGGCACGTCACAACAGATGATAATGAGATTTCAGATTAAGTCAGGAAGCACAAGAAGCCAGGCCAAGGATGCAGAGAGGAACATCCCGAACCTTCCACTCGGACACCGTCTGTGAGTCCACAGGTATATCTGACCACCCTGATTGCTCTTCCCCTCCACACACCCATCTTTGGGTGCCTGCCTCAGACTCCTGTAAGTCTGTCCCCACCCCTGCTGGTCCCAGTAGCTGTCAGACAGAGCTCAGTCTCAGCAGTGAGGCTACGCTTCCAGTATTCCGCTCCCCAGACAACACACACACAGAGCCAGGGTGGACAGACAGGGGCCATCTCCCAGGATCTGCCATCAGAAAGTTGAGGCTTAGAGAAACAACTGACCTCTGATGAGCTTAGGGACCCACAGGCTGGCTCGTTGGTTTCATCTTCACACATCCCTCCTCCCAGTCTGCCCACCTGCCCTTCAGGAAGCAGGACTCTAAAGGGGTCTCCCTGGGATGCTGTGGGCCATGGGCCCTACACAGCTTTCCTCTGGAGTCAGCCTGTACTTGCAAAGGCAGCCGCAAGCCCCTATGGCTAACAGTGGTATTCGCTAAACTGAGGCTTAACTAAGAGGATGGGTACCCAGGAGGCCTGCCCAGGAGTGGAATGCAAACCAAGTCCCTCTGGCAGGAAGTGCCCACCCAGAAACCTGCACTGGGAGATAAAGGGTTCCAGGAAGAGCAGCTGAGGCCCTGGAAGCATTGGCAGACCGCCCGTGTCTAGACGTCAGGTGACTCACCAGGAGTGAGGTGTCCTGCATGGCCTCTGTTAGGGGGCTGAGGCCGGGGCGGCCATGGAACAGGGAGAAGAGGAGTAGGGTGCAACGGCTTCCCAGACCATGGCTGGCATGGCTGGAGCAAGTCCTTTGAAGACCCTCCCCAGAAAGGCTAAGGTGGTAGGCTCCCTGCAGATGCTCTACCCCACAACCACGTGACTATAGAGCCCAGATACACAGAGGTCAGCCTCGACAGCCCACATGGGAGGCTGAGCTACCTCCCAGCCCACCCAGCAGCTACTGACCTGCTGAAGCGCCCAACGCCGCCCACCACAAGCCGCATCTTCCTCTTCTCCCGAGTCGGGGCCGTGAAGTAGCGGATGCCAAGGAACAGGGGCACCCCCACTACCGTGACAGACATGACCTTCCACAGTGGTCTGGGGTGGCCAGGGCTGGAGGGGAGACAGACCCAGACCCTGGTCACTCCCTGATCCTGTCCCTCGTTCCTCCACTCCTGCCACACCAGCTCAAACACTGTACACAGCCCGGTACCGTTGGTCACGAGCAGGCTCTCTGGCCTAAGTGTCCAGCCCTGTCCATCCTCTCTGGGGTCGCTTGCTGCCACCTCTACCACCCACGGGCTCCCTGAGTTGCTTCCCCAGGGCCAGCATGGCCACCCCACCTGCACCTCAGCCTCCACATCCACACAGCACCACCGATCTGCCTGGTGAGAGTGCCCATGGTGGTGGGGGGAGCCCCTTACCTTGCAGGTGAGACCTTGAAGTTCCTCCTAAAGAAGGGGCCGGGGGGCGGCCACGGCTCCCTCCTGCTCAGCAGCAGGGCAGAGTGGAAGTGGCAAAGTCGAGACTGTAAGAGAGCAAGCCCGGAGCCATATATGGCCAGTACCCACATCCACCAAGCCCTCGTGGCGGATGGAGGATCTGGGCGGGCTCACAGCCTAACTTAGGATGGGAGAGCAGCTTTGCTGAGCGCAGATGGGGCTCTCAGTAACATCTGAGAAGAGGCTAGGCGGAGGCCCTAGACCTACCATCCACCACCACTGCCCGTCCCTGAGGACTCCCAGGTCCTTGAAATCCTGTGACCTGTCATTTACTGCTTCCTGCTGCTGTGACCTTTCACAAGTGACCAGGGGGACCATCTGCACCCCCAGGGACCAACGTAAAGAATGCATAACTGTAACACCAGAAAGAGGCCACACAGCTAGAGGCAGACACAGGAGAAAGTGCCCCCAGGTGTGCCTCACCAGAACAGCAAAGATCAGAGAGAGACAGACAGACAGACAATGCTGGTGAGGATGGGGGAAACGAACCCATATCCACTGTTGGTGGAATGAAAACAGGACCGCTGCTGTGGGCGCTTGTGAAGTTCCTCAGAAATGAACATGAGCACATCGGACCCGACAGCTGAGACTTAGAGACGTGTCACAACAGCCCGGAGCTGGAAACAACCTATATGCCCCTCAACAGATGATGGGTAGACAAAAGGTGGTGCACACATACACTGGGCTATTCCTCAGTAGGGAATGAAGTTCTGATACAGGTGATAGGCTGGATGGAGCCTGAAGATGTTAAGTGTCATCGAGTCGGTTCCGACCTATAGCAAACCTGTACAGGGTTTCCAAGGAGCGACTGGTGAGCTTTATAGCCCAGTGTATTAACCCGCAGCGCCACACCAGGACTCCTTGAAGGTATTACAGTGAGAGAAATAGTCAATCATAAAAGAAATACGACATGACTGCACGGATGTGTGTATGGAGATCAGTTTACCCAAACCATCCCTAAGCAAACCATAGTTTAGCCTAACATCTGCCTCGAACATTACACTCTTTTAAGAACCATCTAGGTGGGATCAGAATAAAAACAGCAACTTAGATGGGAAACTCGGAAGGTTCATGTCAATGGGGACAACTGAGAGAAGGTGAGAATGCCGTTCATGTCCCTGAATTGTGTAGAAACTCCTGAATTACTGTCTTGTTAACTTTTGTGTTCTCAACAACAAAAATAAATTATGAAAGAAAACAAAAGGCCTCAGTGAGTCATCATCAGCGGTTCTGATGTCCCAGTTCTTGTTACCAAATAAGGGGTGGCCTCCCTATCGTCTGTGGCTCTGCAGACAGCTGCAAGGACAGCAAACCATGCCAAGGTCTGTGACCGACTGTCCCCGGAGAGGTTCAGACTGAAAGCAAGGCCACACACAGTGAGTACTGACCTCCAGGAGAACCCCCAAGATGTCAGGACAGTGCCACCCTCCAGATGGGGCACAGCCTGTGTGGTCAATTTAGGATGCCACAAAGAGCCTCTGGGTGGCTGGGCTCAGGTGGATCCCAACCCCTGCCCAGCATGTCCCAGCCAGGCCTGCTCCACGTGCTTGTGCCCCCCCAGACACACCCTTCCCAAGGTCTGTCCAGGCCCATTCTAAACTCCCGTCCTCCCTGGACCACCCCACCCCAGTCCCACACTTGCTCAGCAGCTGCATCCAGAGCAGGTAAGAAAGTGTGTGTGGGGGGTGTGAAAGGACCAAAGCCTAGGGCAGCCTCTCCATGTGGACACCACTCGGGCGTACTCCCTAGGCATTGCCATAGCTTCACGCAATGAAAGCCCAGGGCAGGCTCAGAAATGACAATGAGTCAGGGCATTCCTGGGGGTCGGGGTGTCAGCTGGGGTCAGCCTAGTAGGGGAGTGAGTGTGTCACAAGGACAGGGGCCTCCCTGCTGGGTTACAGTCACATGGGTTCAGGACAAAGCCCTGGGGCCAAGTCCTGCCCCCCTGCTTCTTTCCAGGTGACTCACCTGACACCCCACTTGGCGCCATCCTGTCCCGCCTCCTCAGACTTGTCCCACAGCCCTGAGAGCTCCAGGCCAGGGGCTACCCGCCCACCTTTGCATTCCCAGGATCCAGATGGTGCTCTGTGAATGCTTACCAAACCTACACAAGGTCAGTCAGGAAGTACAAGTTTAACCAGATAGCCCACGAAGTCCATGCAAGGACTCCCCAGCAAGTGGGGGGCTGGCTGGCAGCTCATGACTAAGACCCCCGCCCGTGGGTGTGGCCTCGTGCCTGGATTTTCCACATGCCCAGCTTTCCCCAGTTCCCAGCACCCCTCAAACATCTGTCCATGAACGTCCCTTCCTACAGGAAAGACCCCAGAGCCACACTGGTCATGGGGTTTAAAAATGGGGGCTCAGCCTGGAACGCAGTCTAGACAGATTCCGCTCTCGCAGAACCACACTGCAGCCAGAGTCCACCTGCCCGGCAGTGTGGAAGCACACGTGGGGGGACAGCATGTCCCCAGGAGACCTCCTACACATCAGCTCCTTCTACGGAGGACAGCAGGGAACTGCTTGCCCAGGATAGCCCTGGTCTGTGTTTATCATTGTTCCTGCACCTCCTCATGCTCCAAGCTGTCAGTCTAGGCAAGACAGGGGGCCTCCTTGTAGCCTCAGTCAGTCCCATGGCTGTCTCACCACAGGGTGTGTGCCCAGTGTGTCTGCTGAAACACACCCGTCTGGTTACAGAGCACACCGAAGAACACTGCAAGTTCCCAGACAAGAAGACCCTATGGCTCACACTTCCGGCAACGGCTGCTTGCCTGGGTCTCTAACACACAGATCGTTAGGGAAGGAAAGGGAAAGGAAAGGAAAGGAAAGGAAAGGATATGTCCATGACCTGGACAACAGCAGTAGGAAACTCCAGCAGGAGGTTCTAACAACCTGGACACATCAGTGACAGGTCAGCAGCACTTCACACTCCACCGCAGAGGAGACTGAAATTGAGGCCCTGACGTGTGCGCATGGCAGGGAATCTAAACCCAGGCAAGACAGGTCTGGGTGAACGTTCTAGACTGAGAAGTGCTGATGGGAAGGCCAACGTGACCCGCCTCTCAGATAAGCGCTCCATTATCAAAGCCCATAAAACACTCCTATGGAAGAGAACTGCTGCCAGCAAGCCACAGAAATCAAGGGGGAAGTTCTTTAAGACTGTCGACCTTAGGTGCCTTCGAATTGGTTCTGACTCTCAGCAGCACTGTATAGATAGGTTTCCAAGGAGCAGCTGGTGGGAGCAGTCCGGGGCTCATCCTACAGCTCCTCACTAGGACCAAAAGGCTTCCTAGCAACATACACGTGCAGCAGAAAATGTCAAGTTCTCTTCAGACCAAGCCATCAGGGACAAGAGCCTGGAAAGGTGCAGCCCTAACCGCAGGCCCAGTCATGCTGGGACCGGGCAGTCGGCCCTCCTCCGTAGGGCAGGTGTCCCCCCAGGAGCTCAGCTGGGGGTGCGGACCACGGGCTCTCAGGGGGTCAAAGGAACGATGGGGGCCGGGAGCTGGCAGCCTCAACAGTGAGGGGCCGAGGGTGGAGGTGGGGAGCAGGAGACGCGGGGTGCCCAGCGGCCACCCCCGGAAAGCTCTGCGGGTGGCAGCCATAGGGGTGCTGAGCAGTCTCGGGGAGAGGCTCCCCAGGGACGGAAGGGGTACACTGGGTGAGCTGCAGCAGCCCGAAGTACCCGGGTTCTGACAACAGCGCGGGTCTCTAATGGGGGCGTCTCTCGGATCCCGGGTCCCTGACACACGAGGCGGGGTACCAGGGTCTAGAGGGTCTCTCAGGGGGTCCCTGCAGGGCACCAGGCAGGGGCAGACTCCGCGGGCCCGGAGGGCCGCTGACGGGCGTCAGAGGAGCGCCTCGCGCCGGCAAATGGTCCTCACCGGTCGCCACATCTTCCCGCCGCTCCGCGTGCTCGGCACCCGAACGTGTCGCCAGAACCAGCAGCCTCTGCGCCTCCGTGAGCACACCGGTAGACGATGGGCTCAGTGCGCACGCGCCCCAGAACCCAGGCGCTGTCCCAACAGCGGAGGACTGGGAGTGGAGGCCACGCCCCAGCCGGGCCCGCCTCTGTGGGCAGCAGCGCCCCCTGGCGGTCACAAGAGGCCTACCTCTTGGCGCTGGGGCATCGCTGGGCGAGCAGCAGTGGGTTCCGCTTCCGCATTCCGCACACGCGGTTTTGGTTGGCAGAACGTGGGACTCTTTTTTTTTTTTAGTTGATTTCGATTCATGGCGATCCCGTGCGTTAAAGAGTAGAGTTACTCTATGTGGTTTTCTTTCTTAAAAAAAAAAAAAAAATTAATGTGTTTTGGGTGAAATTTGGTACCCATTTAACAACTTCTGTACAACAAATTCAGATAGAATGACGTCTTGTTGTTGTTGTTGTTAAGTGCCGTCGAGTCGGTTCCGACCCATAGCGACCCTGTACAGGGTTTCCGAGGGTGTAAATCCTTAAGGGAGTAGAAAGCTTCATCTTTCTCCCGCAGAGCGGCTGGTAGTTTCGAACCGCTGACCTTAAGGTTCGCAGCCCGATTCGTCTTAGTCATCGCCAAAAATAACATTTCAACATGTATCTTGAACTACAATATTGTCGGTGATAGGATAACATCTACAGGATCTTGGTGTGGCGCTGTAGGATAAAACACTAAACCTCAAAGTCTGTTTGAACCACAAGGTGGGACGTTGTGTTCAAACTTAGCAGCAGGTCAATGGGAACGCTCTCCAGGGTCACAATGCGTCAAAAATGACTCATCAGCACTTAACAACAACACAAGGAAGACAAATTAATATCACTATTATTCAAATTTATGCATCAACCACTGAAGCCAGAGATGACAATGAAGAATTCTATGAACTACTTCAGTATGAAATTGATAAAATATGTAATCAAGATGTACTGACAATTACTGATGATTGGAATTCGAAGCCTGGAAACAAAGAGGATCAATAGTTGAAAATCTGACCTTTGTGAGAGAAATGATGCTGGAGATCACCTGACAGAATTTTGCAAGACCAATGATTTCTTCATTGCAAACACCTATTCTAAACAACATAAAAAGTGACTGTACACCTGGATCTCACTAGATGGAATACACAGGAATCAAATTGACTACCTATGTGGGAAGATAGGGTGAAAAAGGTCAGTAGCATCAGACAAATTAGGCTAGGGGCCCACTGTGGAAAAGTACATCAATTGCACATATGCAAGTTCACACTGAAGCTAAAGAACATAAAAACAAGTCCATGCGAGCCAAAATAAGATCTTGAACATATCCCACCTGAATTTAGAGACGATCTCAAGAATAGATTTGATGCATTAAACACTAATGACCAAACACCAGAAGAGCTGGGGTAATAATATCAAGAACACGATAAAGGAAGAATGCAAAAGGTCACTGAGAAGACAATAAAGAAAGAAAAGACCAAAATGAACATCAGAAGAGAGTCTGAAATTTGCTCTCTAACATAGAGATGCTAAAGCAAATGGAAGAAATGAGGAAGTAAAAGGGCTAAACAGAAAAGTTCAAAAGGCAACTCGAGAAAATAAACTATTATAATGAAACATTCATAGACCTAGAGTTAGAAAACCAAAAAAGGAAAGAATATGTCCACCATTTCCCAAGATGAAAGAATTGAAGAAAAAAATCAAGCCTTGACTTACAATATTGAAGGATTCTATGGGCAAAATTCTATCGTATGATAGAATTCTGCAAAATCAGTCATTTGTTCATTTCAAATACCTACTTTAGACAGCATAAGAGACGACTATACACATGAACTTCACCAGATGGAATACAAAGAAATCAAATTAACTACATCTGTGGAAAGAGAAGATGGAAAAGCTCCATATCATCAGTCAAAACAAGGACAGGGGCAGATTGTGGAACGGACCATCAATTACTGATATGCAAATTCAAACTGAAGTTGAAGAAAATGAAAACAAGTCCATGAGAGCAAAAATATGACCTTGTCTATATCCCACCTGAATTTAGAGATCATCTGAAGAACAGATTTGATACATTAAACACTAAAGACAAAAGACCAGAAAAGTTGTGGGATGACATCAAGAACATCATACAGGAAGAAAGCAAAAAGTCATTAAGAAGACAAGAAGAAAAAGGTC